TATTTCTTCAGCTGATTTTGGCCTCATAACCGCCTTCCACAAAGTATTGCACTTTTGTATGACTTCTGTGTGAATCGTCGATAGCAAATCATTTCCGCGGATCGTTTGCATCATATCCATCGTTACGCACAAATTTAGGGTATGCGCAGCACATCGAATGTGTCGGGGCATTGTATAATCTGTGAATGTCCTGTTGGCATTTTCTTCTTGTTCTTCTGGTTCTACTTCTTCTTCTTCTTCTTCTGCCGATACACTCGATGGAATGTCCTCTTCATCTTCTATTCTAATAGAAGATTCATTTATTCCAAACAGTTTAAACGTTTTAGCGAAATTACTAGCGTTATCTGTTATGGTGGCCACGATTTTATCATTGGTCAGGCCAAATTCTCCGTGAATTGTCCTCAACATGTCCGTTACCTTATTCAATGCATGGACACCCGCAAAGCGACGACATGCAAGTGCCGCTGATTTCCTTTCATACTTTGAGGAAATCCAATGTACTGTAACACTGAAAAAACTTCTTCTTCTTGTAGACCATGTATCTGCTGTGGTGCAAACGTATGATACTGTCTTCAAGTCTTCTTTAATTTTATACATATTGTACAAGAACATGGTGTTCATTACTCTTCCTACTGTGCGCCGGCATATATTGGTCACTTTTTCTGCAAATCCTAAGTTTTTAAACATGCGTCGAAAATAAACGTCTTCCACTGATTTTAGGGGAATCATTGCACTAATTACATATTTTGTCACGTCCAGTTCAAATTGATCGCGCTCGGTCTCCTCTTCTTCTCGGACACGTGTAGTGTCTTCTACATTTACGCTTCGTCTTCTTCGTTGCAGATCGGCATTATATTCTTGAAATTCTGCAGGGTGTTTCCGTTTTAGGTGTGAGCGGAAATTTGACGAAGAGGTCAACATCCCCTTTATTTCTTTATTACGGGGCAAACAAATTTGACACAAGCCAATAACACTTTTCTTCCGACACATAGAAATTTTAAAATATTTTCCACTTAAAATAGTTGGCAATTGTTCGTTTGCCGAAACAGATCCTTTGTTGCTTGCTGCATCAATTTCAGACGTATCCATTATGAGGGGTAACAATTGGTAACAATAAAAAAAGAGAATACAGAAAAATATTTAGGACTAAAGGAAATCACAGTTAGAGTTCACTCACGACCGTCACGACGCACCCTTCATTAAAGTCGCTTAAAAACTGGCGTAGCCATGGGCCATGGCTAGCATTTCTTGGCAACGATTCTCCGCCGAGAATGCCG